TACGAAAAAGTAATTAAATATGCACTTTAGCTGGGTAGAGTCTGGTGACTATTAAGAGGATTATCGATTTATTCAAAATGGAGGATGGCATGCCACTAGAATTGGACTTTCAATTGATGAACTTCTAAACTGCACTGTGAATTCTACCAATCATTTAGAGTTATGAAATTTTACACACTAATATATAAATGGCTGAATCTAATTATCACTAGTAAATTTATGCAATCTATCTTAAAGCTTTATACTGATATGGTGAACGTAGCTATATATTCACAAGAGAACAACGAAAACAGACCGCCAACCACAAACTCCACTCACCATGTGCTGTCTAACTGATTGTAACATCTGACATTCGGGCTATTTATAGCTAGGGAAACCCCGTGATTTGGCGTGCTTTTCAAAAGAATTTAGGGCACCCCGAATCCCGTCAATGTTTTCCGTACGCAAATTTTTGCTAGATCGGTGACGTCATCGTTATTCGGAGGTCACGTGACGGGGGCGCGTCCGTAGTCGCTACTTTAATGGAGTATAGTCGCTTTTTCCATGTTTGTTGGTATATAGTCCCGTAACCTGCACAGGAAATTGTTAGAAACAATAAATTGCATTATATGTTACTACAATGCATCGGGTGCATCTGACAATATGCAGTTGGTTGGTTGCAGCCACAATATTTATCTATTGTTTGTAATGCAATATACATGAGTTCCACTTGTTTTCTGTCTGCCGGTATAGAGTGTTGTTGTCAGACATGGACCCAGCGATGGATGGTGTTGAGGACACTAAAGATGTCAAAATCCCTGGCATTGCAGCTCTAGTCAAACAAGAAGCACTAGAGAGAGATGCTGCCAGCGCAAACCTACAGGAAGTCAAGAAGGAACCTGTACAGGATGATGCAGGTAAGGAACACATGTATTTGTAGCTATGTCTGGTCACATGCAGTGCTGTCGTCGCAATGTGTGTACATCTCCATTGAATGTTTTCTGTTATGTATTGTGTGCTGTCATCACATTGTGTGTACATAGTTACTTTAGTCAAATTTTTAAAATGCCTTCTACACCAATAAAACCAGCACAGTTAGATAGCTGTAAACAATCTCTTTCCAATGGTACCTCATTTAGGCTTGTATGTCATTTCTGAGCAGAAATATGTAGGTTTTTGTGTAAATGAGATGTAAAAAAACAGCTGCTAAAACTTGTCTCCCAGAAACAAGAAGTTTTCTCTGCGCAACCAAACTTTCGTTTTGGCTTTGTTTACATTGGACTGTCATTGGACAAGATGGCAGCCCATGACGAATGAGACAGCCACATAATAGCAATTGCTTGAAAAAGGTCACTGTAAATCCAACTGACAAGAAAGAAATTTTATACACAAATGTAAAATTGGTTGGAGAAATCAATTATAACTAGCATTACCATATTTAGTAACAGTTAAAGCCTAAGCCAACCTTGAATACTAAACCGCTATTTTCAATCAAACTGATGTAACAGAAAAACAGAGGACGTCCGGCTGTTGTACACATGCGCTGTTAATCGGGTTCCTTCCCGCCGTTTACAGCTTTTTATACTGGTGAAAATCACACCAATCGCAAGATGAGAGATTAGGACCCATCCCGAAACCCCAGCCGAAGCAAGTTTCAAACGGTTTCCATGGTAACGGAAATTGCCAAAAAGATCGCAAATTTCCGAAACTATGTTTTTGTTATGTATTGTGCTGTCATCGCATTGTGTGTACATCTCCATTGTCATTTTGCTATGTATTGTGCTGTAATAGTTTTTTGTCTGTGTGTGTCAGATTCTATTGTGCTGTCATAACATTGTGTCTACATCTCTGTTATCTGTTTGCCATTTTTTATTGCGCTGTCCTTGCTTGTCATATCTTGTGCTGTAATAGTTGTTTTTTTCTCAGTGTGTGTGATAATATATTATGCTGTCATATGAGTTGCCTGTTTGTGATAAGATGGGCTTTAATAACGCCTGACAATTTCCCCTGTCGACATTGAGATCTTTACAACCTGGTTCGCTGTCATAACATATTTATTTAAAAACAGGTGCTGAAGAATCCACAGGCAGAACAACCAGAAAGCGCAAGCTGAACAGCATGGCAGAAACATCTGATTTTTCTGATGAGGTCAGTTGTCCTATCTAAGTATGTGGCCATGTGTCATCTCATCAGCCTGTATGTTGCAACAGTTTCATTATGAGACAAGAAAAAGACCAGCAAAATGGGGGGGGGGAGGGGGGGGGGTCAGAATTATTCAAATGTTTTATCATACTAATAATGCTATTTAAATGCTTTAACTATTTTTTTTTACACGGAAAACAGTTCACGATCATAGAACAGTCTCGGTATATATGCAGGACATCCCTCTAGTGTAAGCACTTCTCCTGTTAGTTTGGCCACTCATACACTGCGCCTCTCTCTAATAGCTTGTCCTTTTTATACTTTTTTTGGGGGGGGCGTCCTAGATGCTCCTATTTTCTTCATATGCAGACCTTTATAGATAATGTAACCCAAAGAAAAAATGCAATGTCTTGGGCAGCAGCACCAAAGTTGAACTCTCTTGCTGCAGTTAAACTGCAAACTAAATGGGCTAGGGTGAGGCATGGTAGTAAATAGCGCAGCTAGTCCCAATCAGGCGTTGTAAACACTCATTTGTATTCTGAGTTTTTCCTGAAAAACATCTAATCAAGTAGGTTCAGAGTCTGACAACCTGTCATAAATTGGCAAAAGATATTTCTGTAGGCAAACCAAGATGTAAAAAAAAAATTATCAGCCTGAACATATTTGCCTTTTTTTAATACCTGCACTTTAAAACAGTTTGTTGGAGACAGGTGTACACTATTGTGTCAATTACATGTAACATTTTGTCATTGAAAATAAGTTCTGACAGGAAAGCTGCCTTTCTGCAATTTTGAATTGAATTTAGATTGTATCATTTGTTGTTTCTGTGTCAATCAAATGGTGTAGTAATTGCATCGCTACATGAGCCAATAATATATCAGGATTGCTATGATTGGATGGGTTCATGTGTCAACATATCTGAAATCCAATTTTAATGGATGGGCTCAAACCTGCATGGATATTTTGTTGACACAACACAAAATAAATTACTAGAATGGGGACATAGCGATGCTGAAGATATAACCAATGACTTAAACATTGTCTTTGTGAAACTTTACAGAGTGCAGATGAGAATTTCAGCAAGCCTAAAAAACGAGCCAGTAGAGGGGGAGCTGGTTCTGCAAGTAAAACTCGTGGAAGGTTGGTCATTTCATTGGTTATTATCTAGGATAGTTCTCTACTTTAGGTAATCACCCCATTATGGGTTCCAGGGCCCCATTGGTAACATCTGTGTCATCTGACAACATGGTCAACTTTGTATGTTTTCTGATCAGTTGTCGAAAAGACAGAATAATAGGCTTTTTCTGTCTGTACCTCGAAAGTGTATTGTCTGACAAGTGTTCGAGTCTGTGCTTTAACTGTTGAACCACTTACTAATAGATTGCTGTCACTTCTACTCCAGTGACCCCTGGTTGTGTTGCTGGCCAGATTTTTAAGTGTTAATTACTACCACTGCTGAGCTTGACTACCTCCAAGCATATGTGTTACCAGAACTAGCCTAGCTTCAGTGCCACTCCACATCCACTCCCCTCACTGCTTACATCCTTCAGTGTCAGATGCTTTGTTGCAGCCTGTCTATTGTTCAGTTTTCCTGCGTTAATTGCTTAGAACTAATCCTACTGGCTTCTCTGGCTGTATCCATGGTACGCTCATCTCTCCTATACCTAGCCTCTAATTTTCCCAGGGTGCTACCACTGCTGATTTGTGTTCTCTGATTCTGTTTGCTTTGACATGTTACACATTTGGTCACAGTCAGTAACATAAATGTCTTCTGTCATTGTCAGTGCTGTGAAACATTTTAAATTGCTGTCAGACGTGTGTCATCCCATTGTTTCCTGTTTTATTTTTAGGCCTAAGAAATCATCTGCAGAGGTTCCAGCCAACCAGGCAGATCCATCAAGGAATCCCAGGATTGTGTAAGTTTCTGTCTGTTGTCTTGCAAACTTATCTGTTGTGTTGTTGACTGTTTCTCCTGCAAAAACTTGTCTATTGTCTTCTCTTGTAGCAACTTATCTATAGTTTTCTGCTATAAATATTTATTTGTTGTCCTTAAATAAAGTAAATTCTCGTCTTCTTCTATAGTTACTTATCTGCATTGAAGGAAGGCATTCCTTCCCCGGTTGTCCACTGACGGCATGCTTGTTGGGGAGACTTCTTGTTTTCCCCACAATGGGGCCCTGGAGTCCACCCAGTGATGACTATCCGAAGTAATCTAGTCTAGATGATGTATGAGATGCCAACTTTCTCTGGAGTCGACACAGGGATGACTTTCCGAAGTAAACTATTCTAGATGTTTGAGATGGACCAACTTTCTCTGGAGTCCACACATGAAACAGTCTGCATATATCATGTTTTCTCCTACAGTATTTGCAATATTGAATAATTAATCCTCCTCATCAATTCTCTATTGAACTCTGTGATGGATTGATTAAAGATGGCAGGTACATCTGGGCAAAATCTTCTCCTTAGCTGTTCTGCTGGTATTGGGCATGTTGCATATTTCCCATGTGTTCACTGTAATCAAACTTGTTGCCGTTGTCCGATTATAACGATATTGTATGGTGTCATCTTTACTATTGCCTTCATTGCTTGCTAACTCCTGAGCTATTATGTATTATTCTCCTGCTGCGGTTGTCATTAAAATATGGTTCACGTATTATGTTGATACCTGGCCGTGTCCTTCTCTTCTCTAAAACTCTTCACAAAGGACTCAGGAACTCACTAAGGGAACCTCAGATTGTCCCATCTTGTTTATACCCGTTGGCTGCGTGATACAGTAGTTGGGTGTCTGAGATTTTGTCCTGTTGACCACTCCTGTTGTTGTAGTTTTAAAGAAATGCCATTGTTGATTTTATGTTTTCTTCATTGACAGCTTGAAGAACATTGCAAAGGACGACCTGCAGTCACCTGGTAATGTCAAAGCCAGCACAGAGACTCCCCCTAAAACCACGCGGTCAAGGGCTGGGCGCACCGCCACTCCCAAGACAGGCGGCAAGGGTAAACAGGCAGTTAAACAGGAGCCAGAGGAAGAGGAGGAGGTTGACAACGGTGACGTTGATTACGAGGAAATGGACGAGGATGATGATGATGAAGATGAAGACTTTGTTCCGAAAAAAGGCAAGAAGGGTCGATCGCCCAAACAAACATTCCGTGCCAGGAGTAAGGGCAAAGCCAAGACCAGCAAAGCCAAGCAGGATGTTGAGCAAGAAGAAGAGGAGGAGGAAGAAGAGGAAGAGGGAACCGCAGCTGAAGCAGCTGCTGCAGATGGTGCAGAAGCTAACCCCAATGCTATCAAGGTGAGTAGGACCATGTTTGAGACTTGATTGTAATCCTTAGTTTGGTCTTGCTGTAGACAGTGTCTCCAGCATCTACAAATCGAAGGTCATCTTGTGGATGTCCCTACAGCTGGAGTGTCATCTTGTGGATGTCCCCAATTGTGTTTGATCCATGAGTTAGTGCTACTGGCGGGCTTAGTGTGGCACAACTTGCTAGTTAGTGATTTGTTCAGTGTCTGCAGTATCACCAAAGCCAATAGTTGTCAACATCAGCACTTTCACATGCTGTCACTTGTGACTATCAGCACCTTCCTTTGGGTTCTGTAACCCCATTGTTGGGAGAAAATATAATAGAACCACTGGCCGCTCACATGCATGCCAGTAAAGATGACTTATTGAGTTTCCTTTGAAGTCGGAGTGCAGCTTGATTTGACACTGGGCACATTGATGTCAGCTTTAGTCACATTTCATTACGTGACCCACCAGGGCTGACAGTAGGGAATTTATAAAATTAGCAAACAGGATCGGCTTTCAGTGACAAATTGAAATGAAGTAATTGATTAAATAGACAAACATAGATCTGTATGGGAAGGGCAGATATAGATCTGCCTGGAGAAATTGATTAAATGGACAAAAGGTTATCTTGAGAAATTGATGAAATGGACAATAGGTTATCTTGAAAAATTGATTAAATGAACAGACATTTGTCTGTCTAGAGGTATTTTTTAAATGGACACAAAGCACCATGGTGATCTATACACAGTCTGTCTCATCGATTGTTGATTACTGATTGTTGATCACCAGTGGTATTGTTGATCCACTGATTTTTCTATTGATTGTTTCATTGATTGTTGGGCACTACTAAAGTGTGAGATAACTGACGGAGTGCCTGTTAGTGTTTGTAACAATCTTTTCCTGTGATTGTCTACAGACTGGTCAGTATCTGATAGACAAGAACGACATGAAACGCCTGGAAAACTACCCCATTTGGAGAATGGAAGGGCCCAACATGCTGCGTAAATTTGAGATGATTATCCAGGATGGTTCAGTCAGACATAAATCTCTGTATGCTGTAAGTGGGCTTGTATTGTCGTAGACTTGTCTTGACTTTTTTAAAAGTTATTGCTCATCCTTTACAGGACGTTGTGGGACCAGCCCCAGCATTTCCTGACTGTTTTTTTTTTTTTTTTAGACATTGTGTATATTCTTGTGTTGACAGAGAGACTTGTGTTCTGTTCAGACTTGCCTATGTTTTTGTATTAACAGAGATGTGTCTGTTTTTGTGTTGTCAGAGACCTTTGTGTGCTGTTCACAGACTTGCCTTTGTTACTGTATTTATAGGGAGACTTGTCTGTTTTTGTGTGTTGTCAGAGACTTATATTCTGTTCACAGACTTGCCTATGTTTTTGTATTGACAGAGATGTGTCTTTGTGTTGCAGAGACCTATGTGTTCTGTTCACAGACTTGCCTGTGTTACTGTATTGACAGTCTGTTCTTGTGTTGCAGAGACCTATGTGTTCTGTTCACAGACTTGCCTGTGTTACTGTATTGACAGTCTGTTCTTGTGTTGCAGAGACCTATGTGTTCTGTTCACAGACTTGCCTGTGTTACTGTATTGACAGTCTGTTCTTGTGTTGCAGAGACCTATGTGTTCTGTTCACAGACTTGCCTGTGTTACTGTATTGACAGTCTGTTCTTGTGTTGCAGAGACCTATGTGTTCTGTTCACAGACTTGCCTGTGTTACTGTTCTTGTGTTGACAGACACTCACTTGTGCGAAATTTCCAACCCTGTGCCATCAGAGAGGCTTACATTTGTTCTGTAATGTTTGTTGTTGCCAGAGGTGGTTCTGTGACATTTGTAGTTTAATGTACAATCACTACATTGTGTGTGATTTAGTTTTTGCAGTGTTTGTGTGTTATTTACTATTTGAAACGGCAAAAAAGTCTATGATGTTGACTGCTGACATATTTTTTAAATCCCTAGTATGCATCCTGGGCACAGTCTATGCAGGATCTGTACGAGAAGATTCAAGTGAGACAGATCTCCTCTCAGGATGGGGAGACTATTGTGGAGATTAACCCAGAATTTGTGCCCAGACCGCAAGAGGTTACCAGGTGAGTCCTACACACGTTTTTTTTCTCTCCAATAATAGCATCTGTTAGCTGTAACTTGAGCTAACACATATTCTACTGATTGTTTTATTAGTTAGTGGCCGACACTAGAATGAACAGATCAGATGGCACTGGAGCTCAGTACAATGGCAGCGGCTGACACTAGAATGAGGTTGTCATCATGTCCTCAGAAGGTTCTGGCTCCCCCTCGTTGGCTTAAAAGAAGTATTTTCTTCTGCCTGAGAGTTGAAGAACCAAAAGTCTGCTTATAGATAGGCCAGATCTGTAAAATTAATGTGGACACAACACTCAAGTTATACAACCAAAATCCAGAAATGAATGACCATAATTTTCTGCTGTAGTTTACAACCAATGAATACTAAAATGAAGAGTAAAAAGTACTGATATATGTATGTGTGTTTAGAATGTCAACTTGGAAGGCAGGGACGTGTCCCTTTAACTGTTTCTCTCTGTGTGTTTTGAAGCCTGGAAGACAAATACGCGGGTGACGAGCTGCTGCAGCCCTACAGCATTTACGTAGAAGCCATGTTCCGCCAGGCTGTGGACTCCAGCTTCCTGAAGAAGATCAAGTATGGTAATCCCGTAGCAGACACATCCCATTTCCCTCATACATACTGCGATTTATTCGCAAATGTAACTGAGAACAAGACCTACGAGTGTCGGAATTAAATAATGTAGTCCAATGGAGCAGTGTAAACTGTATGCGAATAAACATTATTAAAACCAAATCTATGCTAATAACGACCACACAAAAACTATACAGTTTAAATTCTCAGAACACTTCAACTCTACATTGAGGGCACTCAAGTGGAAAATGTAACTGAGCACAAGACCTTGGGGTTGGTAATTGATGCAGATCTAACCTTCAGCTCTCATGTACACGCACCTGTGAAACAAACAGTTGGAAAGGTTTATCAGCTTGCAAAAATTAAAAACTTTCTTGATGTACACACAAGAAAGATATTCTGTATTTCTCACATCCAGACATATATAGACTATTGCTCTACAATATGGGTTGGCTGTTCCAGCTCTGTTATTAAGCGGCTCACATCACTGCAAAAGCGTGCCATTCACTTAGTTAGTAACAATCATGGGACAGTGAGCTCCAAAACATTCTTAGGCTACTACCGCTTTGTGAATGTCTACTTTTCAATAAGGCTCCATGTTACTTAATGGCCGTAGTTTAAAAATAATGAAAGGCATAGTAAGCGCCTAAACATATTACACATCCCTAAACCTAGGATAGACCTTTACAAAAAAAGTTTGTCATATTCTACAGCTCAATTGTGGAACTATCTGCCACAGCAAATTAAAAGTTCCGCAAGTCCATATACATACAATTGAAAACTGTTTGAATATTATCTGAGCACCGATGATATGCCTCCATAGAAGATAAAACGTATGTGAAAAATAGTGCTCATTTTCCCTAGATTTGTTACAACTACTCCGTTTTAGTGTAGTTAGGAATTCCAGTGCTAGTATTGATTATTTTGATGCTATTGCTAACTTTTTAATATTACTTGATGTGTGAATGAAATGATGTAAGAACGGAGGGAGACCTCAAAGGGCAGAATGTTAGACTGGCCCGCGTGCCCAATTCTCAACCCTTTAACTTTGTTCGTTCTTGGTTGTTATCTGGGTGCTGTCTGCTGGCCAGTTTGTCTTCTTTCTGATGCCTGCCAGATCCCTCCTCCTCTCCCCCCCCCCCCCCCCCGGATCAGAAATGGCAGGTCCTGTATTTGTATCTCATCTTTGGTCTGTACAGTCATAATGGCTACAGGGGCTACTTGACACTGCTGATCTGACAGGGGCTACTTGACACTGCTGATCTGACAGGGGCTACTTGACACTGCTGATCTGACAGGGGCTACTTGACACTGCTGATCTGACAGGGGCTACTTGACACTGCTGATCTGACAGGGGCTACTTGACACTGCTGATCTGACAGGGGCTACTCGACACTGCTGATCTGACAGGGGCTGCTCGACACTGCTGATCTGACAGGGGCTACTTGACACTGCTGATCTGACAGTGGCTACTCGACACTGCTGATCTGACAGGGGCTACTTGACACTGCCGATCTGACAGGGGCTACTCAACACTGCCGATCTGACAGTGGCTACTCAACACTGCTGATCTGACAGGGGCTACTCGACACTGCTCACCTGACAGTGGCTATTTAACACTGCTCACCTGACAGTGGCTATTTACCCTTTTGCTGACCTGACAGTGGCTACTTGTTAATTATTATTAATAGTAATAAATAGAAGATGAGGTATGAATGAATAACTGTATGCAAGGAATGGAGTGGAAGAGCAGAATGTTAGACGGGCCTGCATGCCCAATTCTTAACCCTTTGAAAATAAATGTATTATTTGTTGTGCTGACCTGACAGTGGCTACTAGAAACTGCTGTCCTGACACTTGAAACTGCTGTCCTGACAGTGGCTACTGCTTACCTGTCACTAGACATGGCTGTCCTGACAGTGGCTGTATGTCCCATAGTTGACAGCAGCTATGTAGGGCTAATACTACACTTGTTCACTATATATGTCAAAGACTTCATATTTTGTTGATTTGGTTGCAGATTCAGATTATGTGCGTGCCATCAATCAGATAGATGCAGTCATCCAAGAGAAGATTGCCAGCATTGAAAGTGAAGTCAGCATGAAGGATGAGTTTAAGGTAAGAACTGTGGTGTGTGTATGTCAGCTGAGGTCATCTTTGTAGCAAAATGGATGTGTTTATGTAGCCACAGAACACAAGCACAAATTGTGGCCACAGAATACAGGCCTGGATTGTGGCCACAGAACACAGGCACAGATTTTGGTCACAGAACAGACATGGATCATAGCTGCTATTGTCAAAGGTGAGAGCAGTTTAGTTAGTTTTAAATGATCTTGGACCATTTGAAAAAGGGAGAAACCTTGGCTTGTTAAATAACACAATTTTTGACATAACTGGCTTTAGTGCAGACAGTGTGTGCACAGCTGAATCAGAGTTATCTTGTGTGATTAGTGACTGCTGAGACAACCATCTTGTAGGATTGTTGATTGCTGAGACAGTCATCTTGTTTGATTGTTGACTGCTGAGACATATTCATCTTGTGTGATTGTTGACTGCTGAGACATATTCATCTTGTGTGATTGTTGACTGCTGAGACATATTCATCTTGTGTGATTGTTGACTGCTGAGACATATTCATCTTGTGTGATTGTTGACTGCTGAGACAATCATCTTGTGTGATTGTTGACTGCTGAGACATATTCATCTTGTGTGATTGTTGACTGCAGAGACATATTCATCTTGTGTGATTGTTGACTGCAGAGACATATTCATCTTGTGTGATTGTTGACTGCAGAGACAATCATCTTGTGTGATTGTCGACTGCTGGGATTAATGGTTGATATCATGTATCTGCTGTGAATAGATGTTTATATGTGTGATGATTTTGTTCCATGATCAGACGAGAGTAAGGAACTGCCCCAACATGAAGAGTATCCGCAGACAAAACTGGTCTCAGACTGACCAGGCCACCACCAACAAATCCTCGGAGAAAGGTGTCCGCTCTGTCCTTATGTTTGGTTACGGCTACGACCCATTTCTCATGGAAGAGGACAAATCCAAGGGTGTAGAGGTTGCCCAGGTAAGGTGCTCAATATTCTTTGGAATGTGTGCATTTTCATTTTAGACTGTCTTGTGTGTGGGTGGATGTATGTGTCTTGTGTGTGGGTGGGCATATTAGGCTGTCTTGTATGTGGGTGGGCATATTAGGCTGGCTTGTGTGTGGGTTGGCTTATAGGCTGTCTTGAGTGTGGTTTGGCATATTAGGCTGTCTTGAATGTGGGTTGGCATTTAAGCTGTCTTGAATGTGGGTTGGCTTATAGGCTGTCTTGTGTGTGGTTTGGCATATTAGGCTGTCTTGAATGTGGGTTGGCATATAGGCTGTCTTGAGTGTGGGTTGGCATATAGGCTGTCTTGAGTGTGGGTTGGCATATAGGCTGTCTTGAGTGTGGTTTGGCATATTAGGCTGAAATTCTAAGCTCCTGGTTTATCTCACCTTGCATTAAATCACCTTTATGTGTTCGCTGAGTTTTATGTGTGAAAGAATAGCTGATGCTTGCATTGTTTGTGTATACAGCCTCACTCTGACATGAACACAAATGCTAAAGCAGTAAGTAGTTCAACGATGAACTGCATTTCTAAAGATGGTCACTGAAAAACACAGAATGTCCATAGATGTCCCTTGTAGACAAATTGACTGCAGTCTGAGTGACTCAGTAAATCCACTAGCATACACACATAAGGCAGCCATCAGAAGTGGCCATCTTTAAAATGCAGTTAATCATTGACAAAAGCAGCAGTTACAGACAGGTCAGGAGTTTTAACTCTTTTGAGTCCCAAGGAATGCATGATGCGTCGATTTAACGTCCCTCCTGACTACCCCTTGGGCCTGTGATGCTAAACCCCCGGGACTCAAAAGAGTTAAGGCACAACCACTTGTGTGGCAGCTGGCCATGGGGCGTATTATGAATATGCAGTTCACAACACCAAATTGGTTACTGCCGAAAATCATTTCAAATAAAATCCGCAGCTAATAATGTCGCACCATGCACTCTCAGCCCAGTAGCTGGGCAACAAAACTAACCTTTCTGTTTACTATTAGAGCAAAATGCAACAGCTACCTTCTATCAGAAGCAAAGCAAAAATTCCCACAACTAAAACAGTGACCATGTTTGTTGTATGTTTTATCCCTGGGTGAACATACTTAAAGGGAGGACAGTAGAGCTACTGTAGTGTCCAGCACTTCCGGCCCAGAACACAAGATGATATCACTGCCTGCTTGCCAGTTTCTCCTTTAGCTACATTTTAGATCTGGTAGATGCTGACTCGTGATTTTTTTTTCTTTTCAGGAAGTGGTGATTGGCAGCACAATGGAGCAGTACCTGGTGGCCTACCATGGCCTGATACATTTCAAATTCACTCTTCTCAAGAGATGTCAGGATAAGGTAGGCTTTCTCTCTCTATATATATATATATATATATATTTTCCCAAGTATAAGACAATCCTATTTAAAGGGGGGGGGGGGGGGGGGGGGGCTTATCACAAGTGTATTTGACAGCTTTACCTTTATTCATCATAGAATCCAGAAAACTCAGCACTGTTAGAAGTCATCTGTTGATAGTTCTTTAGCTTGTCCTCATCTGTGTCGACAAATCACCGTCTTCATATAATGCCTAATTCTTGTTTCCATTTGAAATCCCACACTTCTTGAATGACTTGACAACAATCTTTCTCTTCACATTACCCCAGCAACTTGTCATCCAGTTACAAAATTCTCCTGTAGTTTGTTTCTTCACACCATTAACCTGCTGGTGTTAGATTGTCTGAGAATGCTTCATTCCATTGGTTCCATTCTTTTCTAATGGCAACTTTGAAGTGTCCATGCTGACATCATGTGGTTGACTTAGTGGACACAGGAATTTCTAATGTAACAAGTGCCAAACAAGCTCTGAGACAAGCGGCACAAAAACTGTTACAACCTAAAAGAACTTTTAGTTTTTTTTATTACACACACACCCCCAATTTAATGACGCCTCTGAACCAGCATTTCTAAGTGAGGCCCTGAATAAGATTTTTAAACAAATTATTTGGTAAAAATCTACCATTGCATAATATGCAGTTTTTAGACCTTATATTTTTGGACAATACGTGTCTCTTATACTTGTGGGAAATGTATATATGTATATATATATATGTATGTGTGCTTGTTTCTTTATGTGTGTGTTTGTTTTCTTATCTGTGTGTCTTTCCTTCTTGTCTGTGTTTTTTCCTGCCCTGTCTCTGTTGTAGGTTTGTGATCCTGGTTTCCTGTTTCTGCACATGTGTTGATCGCTGTGTCTACCTGGGTGATGGTGGATAGTTACTATGGTAAGAAGGCTTCAAATGATCTGAAACTATTAGGCTGTCTAGTGAACTAACATTTCAGCAGTACCTGCTTTCTGCTCTCATAGGTGAAACTGACCAACGCCTTGGAGCCCGGAGGTGATGCTAATGTGCTCGACCGATGTTTGCAAGACAGGTGTTGGATTCTGCAGGTGAGTAAACACCAGTGGCACCCCTTAAATAAGGATGTGCACACGAGTGAGAGTTGAAGTGTGTGGTTTGTATCGTCAGAGAAAGGACAGTAAGGCTATGAAATACACATACACACCATTTAGTGTTCACTTTGTGATAGTCCTTTTGTCATCTGTTACCATGGGGGTTCCCTGACTCTCTTTATAATCTGAAGTATCTGGTGACAGAAACTCAGGACCGCGTTCATTATAATCTGAAGTATCTGGTGACAGAAACCCAGGATCGCGTTCATTATAATCTGAAGTCCTAAGAGTCACATGACTAAGATTTTACTGAGAATAATTATGAGAGGAATAAGATACAAAATTTAACCAGAAATCAGCGATGAACAATGTGGATTTGTAGAAGGAAAAGGTACAAAAAATGCCATATACATCCTAAGGACATTGTCAAAAAGAGCTATAGAAGTAAAGACTGATTTGTACTTATGCTTCATAGACTATACAAAAGCATTTGACTGTGTGAAGCATGGAGAAGTAATCAAACATTAGAAAAACTAAACATTGATGGGAAAGATCTACGAATAATAAAGAATGTATTCGCAGCAAACAGCAGCTTTAAGAATTAACAACTGTTTAGGTTCATATCAAAGCATAAAGAGGGGAGTACGACAAGGATGTGTACTATCACCTGATTTGTTTTCAATTTACAGTGAATATATAATGAGATCTTGAATTTATATGCCTGGAATTATTACATTATGCTGATGACACAGTCTTGATAGCAACAAGTCACAAAGAACTACAGGAAATTATAGACATTGTGATGTTAGAAAGTGGAAGAATGGGCCTCAGTTTGAATAATGGGAAGACAGAGGTAATGGTGGTATTAAAGAAACAAATTATTCCTAAATGTGTAATAAAAGTCGATGGTGTTATTTTAGGACAAGTACAGAAATTTAAGTATCTGGGCACATGGAAAACATCAGATGGAAGATGCATAACTGAGAAAAAAAAACAGAATAGGACAGGCAAAAACTGCATTTTATAAAATGAAAAACATCTTGTTCAATATATCCTTTTCATCGAGAGTTAGAAAAAGAATTCTGGCTTGCTACATAATCCAGTTTTAACATGGCTGTGAATCCTGGACAATCGGTAGGCAGACCAAACAATTTCTGGAGGCCTTGGAGATGTGGTTTTACAGAAGAATGCTTAGAATACCTTGGACAGCCAAAAAGAGCAACCAAGAGGTTTTGAAAGAGGCGGGAGCCCGAAGACAACTTATCACAGACATCAGAAGGGCAGTCAACATTTTTCAGCCATGTTATGAGAAGAGGGAAAATAGAATATGTTGTGACCACTGGAAAGATCTGTGGAAGGAGGGATAGAAAAACACGAGAGAAGATGCTTGACAGTCTTGTTGCATGGCATGGAGGTGTGTCGGCACACGAACTGATACATGCTGCAGGGGATCGCAGATTATGGAGAGGCATGATCGCCCACCTGATGATGATGATAATAATCTGAAGTATCTGGTAACAGAAACCCATTATTGCGTTCATTATAATCTGAAGTATCTGGTGACTGAAACTCAGGATCGCATTCATTATAATCTGAAGTATCTGGTGACAGAAACTCATAGATGAATTCATTATAATCTGAAGTATCTCGTGTTAGAAACTCAGGACTACATTCATTATAATCTGAAGAATCTGGTCACAGATGAAGAATCTGGTCACAGAAACTCTACTTATCCAGGCTTTGCTGTATATAAACACTGTCAATCTTTATAAACTAGAGCGGATGTTAATCTGTATAAAATAAAGTGGATGACTTCTGTGAAAATTTGCGGACACTGCCAATCTTTATAAAATAGAGCAGATATCACTGTGTAAACTGGAATGGATGCTAAAGCTATTTGAAATTGTCATAAACTGGAGTGGACGACTGCTGCAAAAGCTTACTGATTCTACTACTATTCTTTTATTCTGTCTAGAAAATGTCCCAAACGTGTTTTCTAATTATGTTGATTTTATTTCAACTTTGCAGACATTTGACCATTTGAAGAAATTGCTGGCGAATGACAACCTCTGATCGAACTTTGGATGTGGCCAGCCAGGGGTCTCTGGCAGCTTGTGTTGTTTCAGTTAAACAATATTTGTACCAGACACAAATTATGACATGGGGGAGGGGGGTGTCAGGGACATCGGAGTTCTCATAGCAGAAGAATCTCTCAACACAAAATTTGACAAACATGTCAGAAAACACTTGTAGATGGCAGATTTTGTCGCTCTGTGAAATGCCGGTGACAAACAGGTCTTACATTCAACGTGTACATGATTTTTATTGTTTTAAATTTTTGTGTACTGTTGCCGTTTCCGTATTTAATTGTTAGTTTCTGTCTCCATGAGACCATCTGTTTCACTCACATTTCATGTCATTTTTTTTAAATGTATTGGATCATTTGTACACGTCCAGGCTTCTTTGTATCTGGTCCATGGATGGCCTGTACCATTTCTTCATGCCGTATAAATGTACCAGAAATAAACATTCGTTCTTTGGGCAAATTTTTATTAAATTTGTTGAATACAACTGTGTTTGCTGTTGGATATTATTATCTTCTCCTATAAAGTCAATGAATATGTGTCCATTCTCTTGTAGATGCTGTTTCTGTGTGCCCCGAGTGAGTCTGTCTCATCCATCTTTGTGAGATTGTATGTAGTACATTTATTTAATGCTTTGAGCCTGTTTAAAAAAAAATTTACAAATTTTTTTTCTTTTTTCTGACACTATAAAATAAATTTGATGTCTTGGTAAATCCACTGTTCTCAGACTGAGTGCCGCTTGAGATCAGCCAAGAAGTGCAGGTATACAGTTGAGTCTACTTAAGTCGAGCTCGGATAAGTCAAATTTTGGTTAAGTCGACATGACCAGCTTAGCCCTCCTGGCAATTTTCTGTGTTGTCTGGATAAGTCCTGATAAGTGGAAGTGTTTTCTTAGGGACCTGCAACTTCTACTTATCCAGAGTCAACTGTATTCAGAAAACTGCCAATGGCAAGGCCGCAGTGCATTATCAACTTACACTTAAGATTAAAACAGGAACCTCCAAGTGATTTGAGGGTACAATTAACGAAACTTTCCAAAAACCAAAGGAAATCATGAAAAATTCATCCAGTTTCATTAATTGTATTGACATTAAATTTGCTGGTTTCTTCTCCTTTTCCTGAGTATTCCAACTGCTTAAGGGTAGGTATGCCGCGAAATTCTGACAAAAGTGCAGCAACGCAAACAAGTTTGAGAACCCCTGCCCCAGACCACCCAGTGGGCAGGTACATGTGCAGATCTCTGCTTAAAAAATTATGTCAAGAATTGTTTTATATACAAGATTATGTGGTTGGGATTCTTTGTTGCTTGTTCCCATACTTGGGAACCAGTGGTTCTCCACACTAGTCTGGTGCTGTTGTTCCTCCGTCACACAAGACTGCTAGTGGTGTTCCTCTCTCACACTAGACTGCTGGTGGTGTTTTCCCAAACTTTTTTTTTATTAGTAGTCATACCACATGTTGAATGAGAATAAATAACACAAACACATTGAGCAGTATTATCTAAACTTTACAACTAAACTCAGATCTCATTTAAAAAAAAATATTTGAGACAACTTCACCTCACATTCTGACAACTTCAGTTGAAACTCATATTCATACTAACATAGCCTTAACTTTAAATATTCACATACAACTGCAACCCAGACTCACACAGACAGCGCTATAACCTCACTCACATCCAGACAACCACTACAATCTTACTCACACCCAGACAACCACTACTAATTTACTCACAACCAGTACAACCTCACATCCAGACAACCACTATGGCCCAATTTCACACATCAAGACAACCACTACAGGTCAACCTTGCACATCCAACCACACACAGATAACCACAACAACCGTACTCACACCCAGACATCCACTATAAATTCACCCACACCCAGATAACCAGTACAACCTCACAAATCAATTATAGCCCAACCTCACATCCAGACAACCACTATGGACCAATCTCACACATCTAGACAACAACTACAGGTCAACCTCACACATCCAGACAACCACTACAGGTCAACCTCACACATCCAGACAACCACTACAGGTCAACTTTACACATCCAGACAACCACAACAGCCCAACCTTACACATCCAGACAACCACTACAGCCCAACCTCACACATCCAGACAACCACTACAGCCCAACCTCACACATCCAGACAACCACTACAGCCCAACCTTACACATCTAGAAAACCATCAAAGGCCAGGCCAACCTCACACACCCAAACACCATAGCCCAACCAGCAGTAGACCAAGTGATGAGGTATCTTCGACACTGCACACATTTCACAAAGTCATCATGTTTACACATGAACACAACCAAGCCATTTTGAACTGTGCCCTATTTCACAAAACAAGGAACCTGTCACATACAGGCTGTCAGTCTAGGCATTGTTTCACAACACTGATCGTGACAGTGACAACTGCTGAGACATCCGACTGGAGCAACACCTTATGTCTGCTTTGGCTATATGGGTGCTGGAACATCTGCGGTAGATTTCATTGCCAAAACCATGCTACAACCATGTGTCTGCCATAGATTTCATTGCCAGAACCATGCGTCAGCAGAAGATTTCATTGCCAGAACCATGTGTCTGCCGTAGATTTCATTGCCAGAACAATGCATCAGCCATAGATTTCATTGCCAGAACCATGTGTCGGCCGTAGATTTTATTGCCAGAACCATGCGTCTGCCGTAGATTTCATTGCCAGAACCATGCGTCAGCCGTAGATTTCATTGCCAGACCTATGTGTTTATCATCTATGTCTATCTGTACAAGGACCATTCCTCTGCTGGATGGTCTGTCTGTGCCAGAACCATGCGTCAGCCGTAGATTTCATTGCTAGAACCATGCGTCTGCCGTAGATTTCATTGCCAGAAACATGCGTCTGTCGTAGATTTTATTGCCAGAAGCGTGCATTTGTCGTAGATTTCATTGCCAGAACCATGCGTCTGCCACAGAATTCATTGCCAGAACCATGCGTCTGCCATAGACTTCATTGCCAGAGCCATGCATCTGCCATAGATTTCATTGCCAGAACCATGCGCCTGCTGTAGATTTCATTGCCAGAACCATGCATCTGTCGTAGATGTCATTGCCAGAACCATGCGTCTGCCACAGATTTCATTGCCAGAACCATGTGTCTGCCATAGATTTCATTGCCAGAACCATGCGTCAGCAGAAGATTTCATTGCCAGAACCATGTGTCTGCCGTAGATTTCATTGCCAGAACAATGCATCAGCCATAGATTTCATTGCCAGAACCATGTGTCGGCCGTAGATTTTATTGCCAGAACCATGCGTCTGCCGTAGATTTCATTGCCAGAACCATGCGTCAGCCGTAGATTTCATTGCCAGACCTATGTGTTTATCATCTATGTCTATCTGTACAAGGACCATTCCTCTGCTGGATGGTCTGTCTGTGCCAGAACCATGCGTCAGCCGTAGATTTCATTGCTAGAACCATGCGTCTGCCGTAGATTTCATTGCCAGAAACATGCGTCTGTCGTAGATTTTATTGCCAGAAGCGTGCATTTGTCGTAGATTTCATTGCCAGAACCATGCGTCTGCCACAGAATTCATTGCCAGAACCATGCGTCTGCCATAGACTTCATTGCCAGAGCCATGCATCTGCCATAGATTTCATTGCCAGAACCATGCGCCTGCTGTAGATTTCATTGCCAGAACCATGCATCTGTCGTAGATGTCATTGCCAGAACCATGCGTCTGCCACAGATTTCATTGCCAGAACCATGCGTCTGCCATAGATTTCACTGCCAAGACCATGCGTCTGCCACAGATTTCATTGCCAGAACCATACGTCTGCCGTAGATTTCATTGCCAGAACCATGCGCCTGCTGTAGATTTCATTGCCAGACCTATGTATATCATCTATGTCTATCTGTACAAGGACCATTTCTCTGCTGGATGGTCTGTCAGTGCCAGCACTCAGCAGTGACGTTCATTCAGTGCAGGCTTGTGGTTATCTGCCACCACAGCCAGCGAGGAAGCATGCAAGGATGTGGTTGAGCCGACACCAGTTGGCAAAGATGCTGATGCTGAAGATGTTGCTGCCACTACTGCTGGAGATGCCAGCACTGTGTTGTTGCGGCGAAGATGCTGAGGAGATGGCTGTGCGTATATGTCAGGAGGACTTGGAACTGCACCAGCTGCAGTAGCCTCCCCTTCCTCTCCACTTCTGTCGTCCTTGCTGCGGAATTTCTTGCGCCAAGAGGGAGCTCGGCGGAATTTTCCACCATCACCCTGGCAACATTAAAAGAAAACAAATGCCAATATTACAATCATGGTTGCCAAGAGGAAACTCGTCTAAAATTTCCCACTATCTATCTTCTTAACACAAGAACATTGGTTGGTGGTTAACTGCCACTCTCCTAATCCCAATAATAAACATAAGATCCCATATTCATTCATATATTTGACTTTGATCTGTTTACCATTGACATATTATTTAAAATATATGACTTTGTTTAACATTGACATATTTCTAATATATGACTAAATAACTTTATCTGTTTAAGGCTGACAAATTTTTAAAAAATGTATGACTTTATCTGATTACCAATTTTCATAATATAATTTCAAATACATGACTGTATCTGTTTACCTCTGAGATATTACTTAAAATATATTACCTTATCTGTTTACCGCAATTCAAAGATTA